GATTGGACAACTGCCATTCGTGATTGTGACCTAAGAACATGGTGGTTGTATTTGAGGTTAATCTGCTTAAAAACAACTAAACCATTAAATTACATTTGCATATTATTTGCAAGACTCTTAATCGTAATTTCGTAATCTACAACAATTACAGAGTTATGAAATAACAGACGAACGTATTAACATTTCTCCTGCGGTAGTGACAGTCCTGCACTGGTACTGGCGCAGGCGCCCTCTCTGATAGGCTAGATGAAGGCTGGGGAGATTTAGACAGTAGATCAAATGGTTTGGCATCCAAAATAGACTGCTGATGAGCAATTCGCCAAAAACAAACTCAAGTAACTAAAGGATTAGAGAAACTTTGGCTAGCGTTGGAGACGCGCTCATACCGAGGTCAAGATAGACAAGTCGAATGAAGGGCAGCAGCAACTAATATATGTTATTAAAAAACAATTGAAACATATAACCAATTATTTTCCTTATTCAATGATACGCTAGTCGATTAATTAACAAGCATAAAGAGGGAGATCAATTTCGTCGTCAATATTTATACATGTAAATCCGATTTGCGTAAAGCGCTTATCTAAATGTCAAATTATCCATTTATATAATATATTCTCTACCTGTCCTATCCTTATGAGCGGGTACTATCTCTCTACAAGTCCTATTCTTTCCCGCTGAAGAATATTGGAACTTTAAACAGATTCTTACTTTACTTACACTGGAACTCAGAAAACGTTACTTCTAAAAGCGGGCCAAACGTACGATCCACAGCGGTAATATCCGCTCCTCCCCTCCATCCCCCCAGCATCCACACCCTACTATAACTAATTAATCGGCGTAGAAAATGGCACAGTGCCCAGTTTAAATTCGATTTTTTGTGGTCATCGGAAGCAAAGCAATCTTAATCCTTTACCAGCTACCTTACTTCAGTTTTTTTCGAGACACTATAAGATAAGATTTTAATAGGTGTTTTTCCGTGTAACCTATTATGAAGCCATCTTTTAGGCTCTGAGTGGCCAGTAGAATCTCCCTGATACCTCACAATTGCCAAAACGTTTCTGAAAACAGCTTAAGCCTTAATCCTTAAATCCTTAAACGGATTTAAATTAATGAATATAAATCCTGCAGGATTTCCTCATTTAAAAATCCTTTTCTTTGGTAGTGCAGGGCGTTTATTCTAAACCGTGCTTATCTCATTGCTGGCAGTACAACCCATGAGACTCCAGCATATTTGCCGAAGGTTTGCCAGCCAAACTCCACCTATCGCCAGTCCAGCTAGTAACTCGGCGCTGAATATCAAACAGACGGCGTTCGTAACCTCGACACGTACCGGTTGCTTTTGGTCGTTCGTTCGTTTACCCGCCAACTCGTGGCCCAGCGGCGCACATCGTAAACAGATGCAAATAAGAGTACATCAGCTTCGGGTCGGAAACCTCGTCTTAATGAACCACAAACTGGTTTCGAACGCGAAAGGTAGTGTTCCTTCTCGAATGTCACGTGTCACGCCTGGTTTTGGTAAATACATTACAGGAATACAACCAAACGTAGAAGGAGTTTACGTTTTGGAATCCAACGTGGCATACAGTCGTCCCTCGCCATATCACGGTTTTGATGAATCGCGGTATTTTAAATTGTACATATCTAATTTTGTATCGCGGGATTTGCGGTATATAGCTATTTTTAATATATTTATGATTTTAATTATTTTGGTGGTAAAATATGCATATTCTAGCCTAAAAAATGACGAGGACGACAAAGTCAGCAAGCGAGAAAGAGGAACAAGAAGAACTAGGGGTTGAAGAAGAAAAGGAGGCTGACCTAACACTCGATGGCCAGAACTTCAGCAAGTTCTGAAGTTCTGACCCCCAGATTCTTCGCTCGTTACAGTTTTTAAATACAATCGAGGGTGGCATGTTGGTATATAAAAACCTCCTCGTCCAGATATAAACAGCACCAGCAGCTCCACATGACTATGTTCCTCACTCGGAAGAAAACATGAGTTACACCTACGTCTGGAGAGAAAATAGAAGCTATGGAGGAGGGCGAAGATACTCTAATACCTGATGAAGTTGTAAGTTCTTGTTGAAGAGTTGTAATGTTCTTCTTGACAATACTATACGTTCATCTCGGCGTCATCTCCTTTATCATCATCAGTACTGCACAGCTAACTCATCATCTTCGTTATTCAAGTTGTAATATCTTCACTGATGAATGCTCGTATAGAACTTTATGTTGTTAAAGTTGGGTAGGTTTATGAATGTAGCTAGTGTTTATAAAAATATATAATATCGCGGAGATTTCTGGAGCTTAATCCCAGCGATAGACGAGGGACCACTGTACCATAAACGAACATGCACTTTTTGAATCGAACGCAAGCTAAGAGTTGTTCAAGTTACAGATTGGAGTTCGTGGTACTTTTAACTTTTGTATCATTTTACTTTGCATCATTAAGTATATTTCTGTTTTCACTTGTGCAAAAAAGCTAATCATCTAGCGCGCCCGAGTTCCGGATAGCGGAACGACCTCCAGAGATGGAGGTCGGCTACAACAAATGACTCGATTCACTGTCGCGAACAGGCAGCGGTGAGACGACCAAGGCGTGGTCGACGGGATTCGAGCTCCACAAGTTCCATTCTCAGAGTAAATGTCACGAGGTTTAATGACAGTCTCATGTCGAGGCGAAAGTCACCCGCCCCTTTGAGGAAAAAAGGCCCTCAATATCGTCGATATCTTGAGGTTAGACGTCAAAGGCTAGACGTGACAGCTTTGATAAAAAAAACCGGACGGAACTGGGTGACCGTCTCTACAAAATTACACGGGCCACCATTGGCTTTGCCAGCAGGTGGTAACAACACAAATAAATAGATCTCAGTACTTGCTCGTCCGTCGAACCGTTCCACTGCGGTGGCTCGGTGTTCGCTTGCGCTGACTCAGAAGCTGCTGAGATTTTTATCTCAGATCAAAATCGCCATCTGGCAAACTAGCCCGGATTTCCCTCACCCTTTGCGCCTACAACCGTAGAACACTGGAGAGATAATACATGTCAAACCAACTTATGGATAAAATGCTAGGGTTAGCCTGCAACATCTTTGGCCTCTGCGGCGCGACTGTGAAGAAATATGAATGGCATCTGGAAAGACGTTAATTCGATACGGCTAGAAAGAGGAGACAGAACGAGGAACAAAGGAGGTATTTGATTTGTAGCTATCAAACCTGGTTCTCCGGTGTCCTCTCCAGCAAGGTAAAATCTGGACCTCCAACTTGGACTTTGAAGATCTCCACACCTATGCTTTCGCAAGTACAGCTGAAGTTGAGGAAGTGAAGGAATTCTATCAAGGACTGGAACGGACATTGATCCAAAGGTCTACGTACACCCTCGTCAGGGACGACTTCAGTGCCAAGGTCGGGGTCGGACGAGGAAGAGTCAGTGAAAAATTTACTGGTAGTGAAATGGGCGAGGATGTCGACTATTGATCTAGCGGAAATGAAAGCCCTGATTCAAGAAAAAGTTTCTAGACGTTGATATATCTAAACGCAGTGAGGCATTTTCGACTTTTCCCCAATTGTCAAGACAAGGACTGGCAAAGTCACTCATTCGAATTTGTGATGTCGTTAGCAGAACTTACAAACCAACACAGTATATAAGAAAAGAGAGTCATTTAATGAACATGTTTGAGTTCAGGTTTTGTTACACACCTTTTTACAGTTATATCTCATGCACAACAAAGGCAAGCCGCCATACGTAGCTGCGAGAAAGCTAGTTGAAAAACGGAAGAGTGAAACCAAAGCCGGATCAGCGTCAGTGAAGTAGAGGGTAGGACAAAAGGCAAAAGAGCGACAACGGGCATTGTTGTGAGAACACAGGAGTGGCTAGAAGCAGAGTGACAGCCTAATGAGGGAAAATTAATGAATCGAACCTGAAAATACTTGACGCCCATGCTTCACTGGTCCTTTAGAATGATACTGAAAAACTGCAAAGAAAGCGACTGTCCGTAGAAGAGGTAGATTTTACTTCACGAGTTCAAAGAGAAGACAAGGGGAAACATTGCGCTGATTACATCTTACAGTATGAATGCAACTGAACACCCCCAAAGCCATGAAGATGGCATCAAGCTGACAGAGCTGTCCCTTGTGCAGAAACAGAATGGTGCAACTTTGTGCTACGTTGAAGTGACGGTATCTCGGTATTTAAATCGTGCGGCGAAAGGGCTGGGCCAGCCAATTAAAGTACTGGATCACAAGCCGGTGAAAAGAACGACGATGCATCAGTCATAAAGCCATGCCCTTAAATGGAAACGTTTATAAAGGCAACAGCAGCCAAAAATAGCATTTCTAGTCATTTTTATCAGGTATATATTTGCCAGAAGACTGTTCCAGCTGAGAACTCAAAAAGAACGGGAAGAAAACACTGCTTACACTGCTTTTTGGTCCAGAAATTATGATGAAACGCTTATCTTCAATTATTTCAGTGACCATGAAGAGATTACCGACTACAGTTATGAAATTTTGTTATTAATATTCATGCAAAATTGGTTCAAGGATAGAAATCAGGTAGGTGGCAGCTTTTCTGGGCTTTTACTTTGTATTGAATGCCACAGCGGATAGTCAACCCTCATCTAGGGGGAGGGTTCAAACCAGTTACAGCCCCTAGAGGCACAAGTAACAGACAGCAGCGTCGTATCTGTCGCCCATTCTTGAGAACTGCGTCAGAACACGATACTTTCTTAACTGTTCAACAGATCAGCGACTTGCTACCTACTCTTGCCTGGTTGTATGAAAGCAATTTCAGGTAAATTTCTGGCCTAGGAGAATTAACAGTCAAGAAAATTTTTTAAGGAACTTGTTGAGCTGGTAACCGACCTCGTCTACCTCCGTCCCTTAGATTTGGTCAGACAGCTCTAATCAGTAAGTTCCATAGGATATTATACATTGTGCCTCTATTGCTAGGATGCTGCTCTTCTTATAACGATGTAAGTTTCTACATGTAGTGGATGAGACCATGAGAAAAACGCTAACAAACCGTGTTGATTTCTCTGGTCGACTCTTCGTTACAGCATGGAATCCAAAACAAGTCTAATGTTCTATAGCACAGACAACAACTTCCTCCCCGAAGACAGGGTACCACAGAAAATATCAAAAGCCATGCTATCTATGGCAACAACAGTGTCACTCCAAGTGCTCAGATGATATGTTTACTCCACTGTTTCTCATATGTGGCTGATATCCATCAAATATGCCTTGGCTTTATTACAGTTACGTATTTAGTACTCCGTTGTTTGTTTCAATTGAATTGCTTTCAATTTCGCTGCTAATAATTTAATTTACATATTTTTTGTTTTACCTATTCTGAACAACAACATTTCGTGTTGAACCTGTTCTATCAATAAGCCTGGGATTATGAACTTTAAAATATTGTACTACAACGACAAATTTGACAAGGAGACGAGGAACACTGTAGGGGAGAAATATTTCATCTGTCGCCAGAATTGTTCTCGTTGAGGGCACAGCACGAACGCAAATCGATGCTCCTGCAACCTTCTCTCTTCCTGATAGTTGTTTGGTGAGCAGCCATTCACCAGTTAACTCGAAGTGCCAACCTTCATGAACCATAGGCGATGTCTCTCTAACCTTAATCCAACCCAGGAATTAAAGAAGTGAATACTTCGTGAGGATTCGCTAACGAACAGATGCCATTGGCAAGAAAGGGGGGGGGACCACCGTTTTAGCCTACAGGAGCGGTCTTCTTCACCACTGCCAGATTCTTACATCAGCTGGTCAGTTGCATATCTTTATATATTTCCACATGTG